CCATTAAATGTGGACCTGCATTCCAAGAGCCTCAGAATCAGGTCTTTTATATTCACTGTGAAATGACCATTAAAGAATGAGAGGCAAGAGTATGCTGGATCCTGTACTAGATCCTAGAAATGCTCTGGCAGTGTAGGTGGATGAGGTCAGCCACGTTCCTCTTCCCCATTTACTTGACATTCCCTCCCTATCTAACACTCCACACCCAAAGACCTTTTATCCTCCAAATTGCTCTTAAAAGTCCTCTTCATGCCCAGTGCCCGCAAAAATCCGATAACTGCTTTGGTGTCTTTGTCAGGTACTTTGACATTAGTGCAGCAGACCTAGTAAAGTAACCTAGATAGGGATGAAGTAACTAGTCATTGCTCTGTCTGGGTTTCCCAGTAAGTCCTGTCTCTGTGCCCATCTTGATCAGCACTCCTGGCTAAGTGCTGCCCATATTTCATCTCAGGGAGTTCCAAGCTTTATATCAGCATTAATAGCGTCTGGTTCAGCTGGTAAGATACTTTGGAAGGTTGGCACCATGTTTCCTGCATGTTTGTTCAGTACTGAGAATGCTGAATGTGCTTAAGAAATAATAGGTGATAGCACTAACGTGTGCCTTGTAATCATAAAGACATCCCACATGGCCATCAGCCCTCATGAGAGGCCATCTCAGGAAGTGTGGTGCCTGTTAGCTGCTCATGGCTATTTTGAGATCCTCCTGGGACATAGGTATGAGCTTTAATCCAGGAAAGGCCTTGTTAGCCACATGTGGTGGCTTCCCTTTCTTGGATTGCATCAGGTGTTGTGAGACACCTGGGAGCACATCTCTACAAGCAACATGATCATTGTCTGGAGCTTGGCTCCAGTCATCTCTGCCTTCCCATCATCTAGAAGCAAAGGAAAGTCAAAAGCTCTTTCATTTTCCTGTATTCTCCCCTGGACTATCATTGCTTAATTGTATCCCTAAATCTTATTAAAGTTTGGGGTGAGTCATTGCCATGGCAAAGTGAAAACAGAGCTGAGCAAATTTAAGAGGGGAGGAGTGTCTTCCAATAGGAACGTGCTGAGCAAGAAAACTCCCACAGCAGTGAGAAACTCCTATCACTTCATAAATGTGTTGCATCATCTGCTTGCTGCTGCCTCTAATTTAGTTCTCTACATCCCATATCAAAACACCTGTAGTCTGAAGATAATATAAAACAGACTTGGAGTAGGAAATTCATGCTAATTAGACATGTAGATCTCTCTTAAACATCTGACACCTTCCTCCAAGCTCACACAGGACTTACAATTCCACGTTGTCCTGTTGCATTGACTATTCACAGAACCCACTTCTCTCTCCACCACCAGAATAAAGTTGTAGGCTTAATCCAAGGTGGCTGCACTTCAGTGTCCTAAATGTATTTAATTTGTGGCTACAGTAGTTTAAGCTTGTAAAACACATTATGATCTCTTGTGGAAAAAAGCACTGTGGAACTGTAAAGCCATTGTCACTGGACAGATAATTTCTTTGTAATGAACTGGAAGACTTCCTCTGCTTTACTGTGTAGGCACCACTATAATCCCTTGCACTTGCTGTTCTGGTTTCTGATGCAAATCCAGAAAAAAAATCTTCTTTCTGAGGCTATGTTTTCCATCACGTCCCAGGCTCCTGCTCCTTGTAACTTTTGGTGATTTAATGTGCCTCGCTGGCATTCTGGTGTGGCTGGGGATATGTTGCTGTAGGCAGGGTGGGCACCTTTCAGCTGGTGGAGGGAGCTCTGGATGTGTGTGTGTATTCCATAACGGGATTAGCACAGAAACCCAGAGCAGCTGAGACCGGAAGAGACTTGTGGAGATAATCTAGTCCAACCCCCCTGCTCCAAGGATCTGCCTTCTCAGACAGTTTTAATAAGGCAGGGCTACAGGTCTTAATCTCCCTGTTCGCATCACTAAATCTGTCCCTTTGGTATCCTGTGGCAGGACAGTAGGTTGTGCCATTTTTCTTCTTGTACAGGTGAGATTCTGATGTTGGCTTGTTCTTGCCCTTCGTACACCACCTGTTTTAGAAGGTATGAATCCTGCTTGGTGATCACTTCAGCACAGAGGTTTCTACCATGAAACCAACATCAGGGTAGTGTGTCTGCACTAGCTTCAGGGTAAATTTTTTTTCATCAGTTACTATCCTAACTAAAGTATTTGCTGGGGAACAGTACAGTTACAGTGTCCCTTACTACTCTGTTTTTCCTTGCAGACTTTAGGTAATATACTTGTAGCCTGTGTCACAGAGTTTAATTATTAAAATGAAAATCTTTCATCATGTCAGCGGGAATTGAAGCCCCATCCTGAAAGAAAGGTGGGTGCAAAACTTAGCCCTTTGTTACTGAAGTAAAAGAAGCTTCAAGTTATTTGGGCTGAACAGGAGCATGGCATCCATCAGCAAACCATTTGCCCATGGATCAGGAGGTGAATTGGGCATCACTTTGACCACGCAGTGATATACCTGCTTGGATTAAGTCTTGTATTGAATATGCCTGTAAAAGCAAGGAGAGCTTGCATCTCTCTGACTTGGCTTCTCCAGCTGGAGTGTCTGGGGCTCAACTGCAGGGAGTTAGTAGGGTATTTAATTTCTGTGTAGCACAACTGAGTCATAATAGGAGAACATAAGAAAATATTGTATTTGGTATTTCCTCTCTTCTTCCATGTTGTTCTTGAGAATGTTGATGGGTTTATCTTCTATAAAATCGTGATTATAGTACCTGCAAGTTGTTCTGACTTACTTCACCTGATGTGGGCAGTCTGGGACCAACCAATAACGGAGCATAAATTGAAGGTGTTCAGAGCTGGTTAAGCGGAATAAGGTTTCTAGGTTGGGTTGCAAGAGAACTGTTTTTTTTGTGAAAGGGTGGGACACCAAGGAGAGTAAGTCAGTCATCTAAGCCACAGAGGGTTTTACTAGGCAAATATAAAATTTATTTTTATTCAGCAGATATTGCCTGGATAATGATATCTCAGTTATTAATGGAGCAAATGAGGGAAGGACAGCCAAGAAATACCAGGGCATTTTGAAAATGGAGCTTACATCTAAGAGGAAACTAAGAAGTTCCTGTTGCAATTATAGTAGACAGCAGTGCTCCAAAGGAAGAGAAGGGACAGGGGAACACTGTGTCACGCTGGTTATAATCAGGCACTTAAGACTTCAGAAAATTACAGAATCACAGAATAATTGAGGTTGGAAGCGATCTCTGGATATCATCTAGTCCTGCTAAAAGCAGGGTCAACTAGAGCAGGTTGCTCAGGACTGTGTCCTATTGGGTTTTGAGTATCTCCAGAGATGGGGAATCCACAACCTCTCTGTACAACCTGCTTGACCACTCTCACAGTAAAAAAGTTTTTTCTTATGTTTAAATGGAATTTCCTGGATTTCAGTTTGTGCCCTTTGCCTCTTTTCACTGGGCAACAGCGTGAGGAGTCTGCCTCTGTCTTCTTTAGCCCCTCTCCTATCAAGTATTGATGCACATGGATAAGATTCATGCCCTTCCCCACCCGGAGCCTTCTGTGCTCAGTGCTAAACAGTCTGATAGGGTATGGAAGTGGGGATTGTTGCACTAATGTTACTGGGCAGATACTGGTAGTCTAAAGCCAGCCTAAATGTTGCCCTGAGTAAATGGTGATGTATGAGTAATACAGAAGAGGCCAAATGAGCTTTCTTTCTTTTTCCTTCATTTTCTGTATCTTTTTTTCCTTTAGTACCTTTAATTTATGTCTGTTTTCTTGGAATTGTCCCAGATGTCTTCTGGGAATAGTTATCTCTGGATCTTTTATCTCTGTGTGTTTGTCATTTAGTGTGATCCTGGCAGTCCCAAAAGCCAAGACATTTATGGTGAGTGAGTTCAGGGTGCTTAGTTGATTCCCGTGACCTGCAGTGGTGAGCAGGATCACTTTGGATAAAGTCTCAGATCAAATTTTAAACTGCAATTGAACTTTTATAGGTGGTGAGTATAGTTGGAGAATGGTGTTTCTCATTTTTAAAAAAAGATACTTGCATATCCTCAGTTTTGGGGAAGACGGTAGCCTAAATGAGGAAGTCCCAGATGTTAAGAGAGCAACTGTCTCTGTTCCAGACCCAAGAAGTCTGAGTGCAGTTTGCTTAGACCATAGACAAACGTTCAGGCCTAAGGATCTGTATCTGATGCAGCTGGCCCATCTTCAGCTTAGCAAATGCATATCCCCCAAGATGAGTTATAAAAGGTCTCTTGTAGGTTTTCTCTGTTGTCTAGTTGGTTACAAAAGCATGGCTGTTCATTTGTACCTGACATTATATGTACTTATATGTTTGATACCCAAGTGCTAAATCTAGCTGAATATGTGAATGCTACAAAACCTGTTAATATTGTTTATGCCAATTAATATATGGGCGTGCAGGGAAGATAGAAGGTTGGGTTTGGTTCTGCTTGTAGCTGCTTTAAAGCTTAGCATTTGGTCACTTACCTTTACTAAGCTATTTTAAATTTATTTTCTACATTTGTTTTGGAAATGAGAGCCCCCCCAGAACTAGTTAAATGTGAAAACTTCCATCATTGCTCCTATTGCTGTGTCATATCTCCTTCCAACAGAGATTTGTTAAAACTTGCCTTGGAAGTTAAATTGAAATTTGTTTGTCTTGTCAAACCATTTGAAGCATCTAAGGCGCAGAATTTCCATAAAATAACAGAGGTAAGGGAACTGGATTCTGCAGAAAACAAACAAAAAGAAAACCCTGATCGATCTTAAGTAGAAACGAAAGACCGGTTTCTCATGCATGAGGATTTTGTTCCCAAACTCTTTGCATGATGTTACATCTACCTACCTGTGCTGTTACTGTAGTAGCCCAAAATGATTGAGTGTGCATGTATAGTAATGAAGCCAATGTGCAAACTTTAGAAGTGAGGTGTCTGCTGGAATTTGAAGCTTTGCTGCTGCTTCACAAAAGGTTTGAGTTGTATGCTTTTCAAAGGCTGAAGGCACTGAGTATGTTCTCTCTGTTTTCCTCACAGGTGTGTTACTAGACATCCAGCAGCACTTTGGAGTCAAAGACAGTGGGGCTGGCTTGTTACAAACAGGTAAGAGCATTTGTTTTCGTGCTGGTTTTTGTAACCTTTCTCTTCTCAGATGGGCGCTTTCAGATTTCTTCAGTTATGGCCTTTGGGCACATCAGCTGTGAAATATACTTTTACTAGGAAGGTGAGTGAACAATGAGGGATTTTTGGGTTTTGATTTGCTGGTGGGCAGAAAATAAGGGCTCAGAATGACTTAAGTGCAGAATGGGCCAAAAGCAAACAAACCTAATGAAATTATTTATGACAACTAAATTCAAAAAGGAGATGGCTACTTCCCCTAGATCAGAAAACCCATGATAAACCAACAGCAGGATCCTGTTGTTCTCACTTAAATCTCTGTGGGTTGGTAATAAGTGTGCTGTATGATGCCCTTCATGTGCTCTACAGAGAATCTGCTGAATGTACAGTAACTGGCAGTATAGTGTGGCATGAAAATGTAAAACTCATCAGGACAAGTACCTGAGGATGAAAACTGCAGAAAAGGCTAACAATCACTGTATTCATGGTAGCTCATGGATTAACAATATCCCTATGATTTTGGTACTGTTAGCTTCAGACATTTCTCTCCTTATTTTTAAGACAGACAATTGCAAATGTGGTGTCCTTTTAACGTAGCAGACATTTTAATGTTGCAGACAGAGCTGTACAACCTCAGGACAAACCCAGCTTTTCTGGCCTCTAGTCCTGAGGTGAGGAGTGCCTTTGTCAATGGGCGGGATTTGGTGACATTGAGTAGCAGTCTCATGTAGTTACGACAGCACATTTGATCTTTATGCAGAGTTGAAAGGACTAGCCAGAGAGCAAATGCAGTATTATGAAGAGAGAAACAGTCTGGTTTGGAATCTTCCTACAAAATTATTGGTTGGAGTCATAGATTTGTGGTGTTGTGGTTGTCTTGTCACTGTCATGTGTCTGAGGGAACCACACTGGAACAATTACATCTCTGAAAAAAATTAGAATTCAATTAGGATTAGAAATGCCAGAAAGACATTTTTTTTTCCCCATGCTTTTTTTGTTTTTTTTAATGCTATTACAGTGGATACCAAATGCCCATCAGGAGCTTGTCCATGAAACTGTAGCCAACAATACAGCATATAAAATCGTGCATTCTTTATGATCACGCTAGAGGTGAGAATGTTCTGGAGCTCCATTGTTGGCCTTTGATTTCAAACTATGTGAACCACTGCAGTATCTCCTCCTTTTTATTTTCTGCCACCCATGGCACAGCAGGGTCCTCATCTGTGGTTACGGCTTCTTGGTAACGTTGCAATACAAACGATTAATAACAGTTTGTATTAAGGCTTTAAAAATGCTTTCCTTATGGGATGGTAGAGTTCAGCTAAGCTGATATGTGCAGCACATGTCCAGAACAGAAGGCCTGAGCTTTACAAGTGTTACTGATTATAAGTAGCATCAATCAGTTATGCCCAAAGTGTCACTGGTTGTCCATCAAGTTCTTTTCTACAGCAATTATTTGTATTTTTTTATTGTACTCAGAGGAACAGGTCTTCAATGTATCATTAGACATGAAGTGCCTTCAGGAAAATATTCTGGTGGAACATGACACTTGTCACAGCATTATATTTAGTCTTCATTCCCCTCTGGATGAAATCCTTCTGCAGATGATTTACTGATAGCAAGTAAGAGCTAAGCTCCAATGGGGCACTTCATTTGTTGATTGTAAGAAATGTTATTTATTTCTCTAGCAAACATAGACAGCATCTGAAAACAGTGTCACTGAGATACTGCAAGATTGCTGCTGAGTGTGTGTTGAGTTTTGTAACTGATAACTGTTCCTTTAAGTTTTTTTGCTGATCTGAAAACTGAGGGCTTGACTTTGCCCCTGCAATGTAGATAATAGTGTATTAATCACAGTGCCATCACAAGAAAAGAGTGCTCACAAAATAAAACACCATTTCATGTAAGTAAGGTTAGTGGCATGTAAGTGAAAACTTATTACATGTATTACTTCAGCTTAACCAGTTTCTGTGTTGGCAGCTGGCCCATGGCCCATGTACCCTTAACCCTGGTGAAATAAAACACACTGGCCTAAACCACCTACTTTTAATCTTTTGTCTGTTCTCTAAGTCTGACCTCTCTAAATGTGCAAATTGGCAAAAATGGATGCAGAGTGTACAAGTATTTGACCAAGGTTGCAGATGAAGCCTATAGTGGAGCTGCAACCAGGACTGATACCTGCTAGACCTCTGTCTTAACCTTGAACAGTTTCTTTGCAAGCAGAGAGACAGAAATATCATCTTATTCCCAAGAGATGGTCCTGCTAACTAATTGAGTGATGTGAGACAAAAGACTGCTCATCCTGAATATGTCCTCTGAATAAAGAGTGGATTAGTCCTCAGGTTGTTAATCCTGCATCTAAATGAGTCCTAAATTAATTTACAATGTTAATGAGGGGGAGTGAAATGTAGTATTCGCTGGCAGTTCGTATCGTTCATCAAACAAGCTTTAAAAAATAATAAAGAAAATCCTTTTAACTGGGAAACAAGGCTGCACACAGTGTTTTAGGAAGAGATGGTACTAAAAACTCAAACAGCAACAGAAAAAGAAATCTACCAAAGGCAATGTATGACCCTGCATTCATACCATAACCCATTCTTTGCAGGCACAGCCAGTCTCAGCTCTCTCACTCCAAACATTCAAAAGCCAACTCATACACTCTCAGCTTCTGCTACTCTCTGGAAAGCAAAGGTGACTCTTTTCTTAGGAATTGCAAGGGCAGACTTTGAATTTTTGTCTTTTGTATTAATCCCTAGGATACAAGTGGCTCTTTGCCTAGGACATACAATGAAAACTGGTTAGAGGGGCACTGTAACTCCCTGTACAGAAAAATCACAGGGACACTCCAGCCTCATCCACAATGGAAAGGAGCAGAATGTGGTAGTCTCTGCAGCAAGGATCTTGTGACAGCAGAGGACACAGTGACAGATGGATTGCAATTGCTGCTTGCTCCGTAGCATTGTAGAGTAACAGGCGTATAACTATGTTGATTCCAGAGCCTCAGTTCTCTCTTGATGATGCTATAATTCTGTGCTGATCTTCCTTTTTAAAGCCCTACACATGCAGTTATATAAATATTAGTTAAGTACTAATTATACTGTTACTGCAGGTCTGCATCCAAGCTTTCTTGTTCTTTTTATTTCTTCCTGGCTGCTTTTCCCAGATGGAGAAAGGATAATCCTGGCTGATCTCAAAAGGTGACAGAGCATCTCCTTGCCTACTTGAGCTGTACAGCTGTGATCAGTCAATACATTTAAAAAGCCAAATGATACAAAAAGTCTTTCCCATGTGTGGGGTTAGGTGAGTGCAGCAATTTGGACTCACCAAAACTACAGGCCTCTAAAAACAAAAGACTGAGAAGGTGAACAACTAGATTTGTAGAACTGCTTCAAAATAGTGTTATCCTTCTATATATACTTAGACCACAGGAGTAGCGCCCCAGTGCTGTACTTGACTTTTCACTAGGTTTTTTTTCCCTTCTTCAATTTTTGTGCTTTATTGCTCTTTCCACTTTCCCTGCCCTTGATTTTATTTTGCTTTTCTGTCTCTTGCCAGTGTCTATTTAGCACACAGGAGCTCTAATAATAATATAGTGCCTGTCTCTCAATACAGTTTGTCTTCTGTAGACCTTAGGATGTTTTATATAGGAAGGGATAATGAGGCTTGCCTTTTTCTACAGATGGGGAAACCAAGAAAGCCAGATGGGAGAAATAACCTGCCCAAAGTCACACAGCAGGTCTGAGGCAGAGCCAGAATGAGAGCTGCGGTCCAGTTCCGGAACACGCAGCATTCAACCAGGTTAATGCTCAGACCCAAAGATCTGGTACTTGTTAATGGGCACCTTAATCTTCCAGCATAGGTAGCTCAAGCTCAGGGGAAGGCACATAAAACAGTGGGGACTTCTGCAAGCGGAAACTGTGAGGCATCAAATGGGGAGGGTATGGCAAGGATTCCATTGAAATGCAGAGGGTAAAAGTGTCTGTCTTCAGAAAGAGCATAGGGATGTCATTAGAGAAGACCCTGGTAACCAAAAGCTTATACCATGAGGTCAGAAGCAAGGAAATGTAAGGAAGCGAGAGATCTGGAAGGACTCATTAAAAGTGAATAATCATAGATAACTGGGGCTCTGAAAGAACTTGTCTCTTCTCATGTGGAGAGAGATGGGCATTCTCCCAAATGCCTTTCAGCCCCTGGTTTCTCAGGAAGCCTAGCAATGCCAGGTACTTTCTTAAGTCTTATTGTGGGCTCTTTTTTCCTGTAAGGGTCAAATCCAACTAAAACCTCTCTTCATTTGAAAAGTGAAATCTTTACCTACCTGAGTTCCTCTACCTTTTGAACCGACCTAGTGTACCCTTGCGCTATATTGCAACTTTGCAAGTATGTTAGCAGCTCTGGTGTGCCGTGGCTCTGCCAACCGAGCTATAAGCACGTGCAGTTAGTAGGGGACTTGAAATAGTGGAGTGCAATGGTGGGATAAATCAGACTTGCTAAATTGAAAGTTTTTCTTTCATCTCCCTTTGACTCCCATCTTCTTGTCATTGGCTTATGATGACAGCCTATACGGCTCTAACATTTTTTATTTATTCCGCACAGAGACCACCTCCTCTGCATGCTAATCTTGAGTATGTGTATATTACATGAGTTGCACGTGCTGCATGTTTCTTTTCTGCCATCTTTTTCTACCTGAATAGATACTGTCTTGCTTCTCATCTGTACTATGCATAACTGAATCAGATCTTCATCTTTCACTTCCTATTGCACCTGCTTAACTGTTCTTTCTAGAACAGAAGAACTCCTGGGTGCTTTCTATTTAAAATTCATGGACTTCCTTTTGAGTGAATGACTTCTTACACCAGAGCACCTCCCAAGGCCCTGGTGTCTCAGGTGTCCAATCCAGAAGGTGACACAGAATGCTTTGTAGTTGCTCTTCTTGATTTATGACTGCAAATGCTTTGGACCACCATGTTCTACCCAGAGCAGGTCAT